AATCACATGTTTTTCTCCTCCTCACTCCTGCTTCTTCTTTCTAGATGGTGGTTTTTTATTATCATTGAAGCTTTTACAACTTCGCTTGGGGTGTCGGTTCTCTCCAAAGCTGCTTGGATTTGAAAGGATACTTGTGGGGTTCTTCCGAGGATGGAAGTGTGCCCACGTGCTCTTTCTGGAGCAGTGACTAGCTACCTGCCTACAGCAAGGTTTGTGACCCATTTCAGAATTTTATTTTTACATGCTCATTTTTATGGATTGAACCGTTTAAGTTGAGAATTTATGAGCTTTCTACCATATGTTTATTATTTGGCTGAATTCATCATAATTTATTGTTACGTTTTGTGAATCTTACTACTGTTTGTCTTCAAACTGAATATGTAGAGCAAAAGATCCAATCGCATGATCAACTATACTTCAGGTTTAAACATCTTCAGTCATCTTACTGATTTTCTGTTTTGATACTTGGGTGTGAGGCTGATCAAGAACCAGAATGGTCAAATATTTGTTTTAGAGTCAAAATCGTCCGGCTATAAATGGCTTCATTGCTGGTGCCCTATTCTTGCCTTGACGGGGCACACGATTTGTGAGATGTAGCACCTGGGCTGGGATCAATTCCATCTTCTTTGCTTTGCTCTTGGGCGGAAACAACACTAATTTCGTGGTTCAGTGACTTCCCTGTGTAAGTGTTGCAGGTCATGTCCCCTTTCTGTTAGGTTTGTTACTTATCATTGATTCCCTATTGTTCTTCGCCAAGGATGTTTATCGTTTTTTGCTTTATTGATTATTAGTATAATTAATCGGCAAGCATACTTAAGGGGTTCAGTAGGTTGTGGTCGGGTGTACCGTAAGCCTCCTGTGACCCTTTTTTTCCCACCGTTACCCTTTTTCCCATCGTTTCTTCCTTTGGCCTCCCCGCGTAGACTGCCTGGCGGCTACGCAAGTTGTTTTCCTTCCCGATGGAACTATCAAGTAGATGATTTCCCACCCCCCCCCCCCCTTTTCAGAAACTCTCCGACGATGATTACCCGGCAGCTACCCAAGTCTCAGACCCCTTCTTACCCTTCCTAAAACCCTCGGTCGAGGGATCGATTTGCAGTCGGCGGACAAACAATCCAAATCGACAAGCATCCACGGCACCGATACTGCCATTAATGAAACAAACCCTGAAATAAAAATCGAGACGCTGGATATCTTATCGAACATAGCTTGGAGGTGACAGTGAGGTGCTGAATCGTTAATCAAAGCCCACCGAGAGCGGACAAAAACTCCGCCTATTCATGGAAAATAACACAAGGGAAGAACCGGGACTGCCGTCGATTTGAATCATATGACACAATTCCAGAGAGCTAACAAAGGAAACCGTGACGATGAGCCGATTTACTGATTTTCCTCCCTACAATAGTTCTCTGCCATCCAATTTCCTTCAATCCTTTAGTACCCATTCCACCACTCACCTTGATTGCATGCCTTGATCAAGACTTCAAGGAAATCGCAACCCAATCCAAATTTCAATTCTGCTACTTCTCTAGCTAACCAAAAGCTCCGCAAGGTCTCCTGCTCGACAATTTCATGGATTGGGAACTAGGATCTCTGCCATTGAGGTTCTAGCTTTGTGGGGTTTTTTTTTTTTTTTTTTGTGCCTTTATCGGAGCTTTGTGATGATAAGCTAGCCAAATTATTGATTTCTATCATTTTTCCTTTTTATTATCCATATTTGCATGAGTGACAGGTGTTTACTTCAAATTGAAACAATGCCACTTGCTGACGCGTATATGACTTCATCTCATCAATATCATTATAGTAAACTTTTCTAACCTTTCCTTTTCCTTGGTAAGTTTTTCTCCACTCTTAATTTGAGGTTCTCATCCTCATTCGATTGGTTGAGTCCAACACCATATATACTTTATACATTCTAATAGATTCATTTAATTTTAGTTATTTTCTTGGGTTATTTAAATTTTGTATTTATAGGCATTGATAAGAAATAATAGTATGTACAACAATTCATGAATGTAAAAGATTAAAACCGTGAAACAATGTAGGAGGTTGTACTGGAAAAGTGAGTGATAGGATATGTTGTACTAAATCATGACTTAATCAATGTCATACCAATAAAATCATCTACTTATTTAGGCTTTGATATGAAGTTTTCTCTGTTCAAAGCATCGATACGATACGATTCAAAAACAGTGTAAAAATTAGTCCAGTTAATACCCATACAATGTTAGATATCAAAAGACTTTACATTTACTTATATTCATTGTTCTTCCAATTAATAGTTCAAATTAATAAATTTAGAAGCATTATAAAAGACCATATCAATATTTGGAATCGAGGGCATTAATTATGCAAGGTGTTGATAATTAAGTTATAATTACCTAAATAATTAAGCCTTTCCAATAATTATAGCTTTAAATAAAACTTATAAAAGTGTCTCGCGCAAAAGATTTTGTGAATATTTTTATTTCACTAAATTATTAAATAAGTGAATAAAATTTTATCATCAAAAGAAAGTATTAACTGATCACCGCCGCAACGCGCGGGCCAATTATCTAGTTTTTATTATTATAGGTAGATCGACGAAGTCTCTCCATACCATGTCCCGTCTCTCTCATGTCTTGTAGTAGAATAATCGGTGGGGGTGGAGGGTTGCATTTGAGGTAAATAACCTATTTTGTTCATTTGATTCCAGGCTTCTCCTTTTCATATGTTTTTTTTTTTGGTTAGCTTTGTGCAGTTGGTATCTTCCCAGTTTCATATGTAACACTACTCTTACAAGATCACTTATAAGATGAGGAAGTTTGAATATGGTCGCAGTACCGATTGCGGTGTTCTTGTATAAATCGAGTTGTCGTCAGATCCTAGACTCTTTGTCAATTTGTACAAAGTTTAGGGCGGTTTCTATAACCGCCAACAGTGATGCCCATAGAGTGGCGCTTAAAGCACTGCGTTGTCTCTTTTAGAGTTAAGAGTTTTTTGACTTTTTTGGGGTAGGGTGTCGCTTGTATGGAGTTTGTTGATAGTTTTGCATGTATAACTTTTGTTGTCTCTTTATATCACTCGAAAATAAAGAATATATATATATATATATATAATATATTATCTTCTAATAACCCAAATTATTGAAACCAGTGAATTTATAGATAATGCTTAGAAAACGAAAAGAAAAATGGTACACCACAACATCAAACGCATAATAAAGAAATAAGGCCGTGTCACTCCTACATTAAACGTCACTAGTTATTGTAAACAAATAACAATTATTAGTGTGAAAGATGTTGTATTTGTTAATAATCATAGGTCAAGTTGTGGTTGAATTTGCCAGCCTTTTATTTTATTTTATATACAGCTGTTAGTTGTTGGCCTGTTAATCTCCTGATTAAATTAATGTGATGTCAGTTTTGTCATCTAATGACCCATTAGATGTATCTAACGGGGTAGATTTGGTAATGGTATTTGAGGGTGAAATTTACTTTCAGGAATTATGTCACTTGATAGTATGAACTTGCTTATTACTAATTTACTATCACGAGAATCCAATCCAAACGTGTTTGCTAGAATCTGGTCATTAGGACACGACGAGTTTCGTGTATACATGAAGAGATTTATGGCATACATTCGTAAAATAAAATGCATACTAATTTACCCCCTATTTGATATAGAACTTTAGATTTGTAACTTTTTTTTTTTGGTGGGACAGAATTTTCATTTTCATTCAATAGCTAATATTGACTCAACAATAATCATAAGGGATATTACGACAGCATCTTGGTCATTATTGGTATATAATTCATAATTCAATCTCTCTCTCAACAACTCGATTTATTGAAATCAACTGGTTATTGACATGATATGTGAGTTTCTAGTAATAAGGGTTTTCTCTTTATGACCGTGACCTTATTTGTGTAAGCACACGATATTCGGACCTATGCAAACTTCAAGTCAATATATGGACTCTCGTTTGTGGGGGGTGTTAGTAACTGGTATATGAGGTTACAACAACTCAAATTATTGAAATCAATTAATTCTTGACACACAATATATAAATCGAGGTACAAAAAGGTTACAACAGACAATGCTTATCCTATTTTATGCAGTAACATAGAGTGGCGGAGCTGTGCACACTTGAGGGGGTTGCATGCACCCCCCTTGGCTTTGGGACGGAAAAAAAATCCAATATATGTAGTAGGAAGCAAGGATCGAACCACTAATTTAGTGGTTGAAAATGAGAAATCTTTACTATCTCGACTTAGAGTTTTTCATTTATAATACATACATGTTTAATTATATCAATGTTAATTATCTGTCCTAATATCAAAACGCAAAAGTCTAATCGTCTATCCCAGCAATCCCCAGTTACAATTTCGTTCTTCCTCCACCCAGTAGTAGCAGAGGCGCTGCGAGTTGCAAGCCGAGCTCGCTCAACCTCCAAGCTATCCATCCTCCAGCCCCCAAGCTCTCCATCTCCGGCTCCAAGCTCGCAGAACATCCACCCACCACCCATATTTTCGGCTCCTACCCAACAAATCTAAACTATTTATAGGCTCCAGACTTTCGTTCTCCGCCTTCACCTCCAAAAATCCTTCTCTTTTCAATCGTGAGCAGGGTAGGGGAGCAACAAGCCAGCAACACAAAATTACTTTGTTTGACATCATCAATCTTTAACAACAAGGTAAAATCTAAGTTTTAATTTCAATTACTTGAAAATTTTATTATTTGTGTTAATTTAGGGTTAGGTTTGTGTGTTTGTTATACTCAATTTCATCTCCAAATTAAGTACATAGACTGAATTAGTCATATAATTAGTCATATAATGAAGTTGATTTTCATATTTTCGTTTAGAGTTGACTTTTCTATTACATAATTGACTTTTTCATGACATGAAGAAGCACCCACTTGGCCAATTTTCTGGCTCCGCCACTGGTAAAATACTAATTAGAAAATAAGCATATAAATGCTTAAATATGAAACAAAGTTCCAGACACGTCGAAACAAACATACTAATTAAAATTTTAATCATAAGCATTGAAGAAAGAACATAGAAATGAGGACGATGAACATCAATCTGTCTCTTCCAAGTAGTGTCTTTTGGCCTTGCCATCCTCTCACAGCATTTCATCATATGCTACTGGAATCAAGTGCAGACTATGGTATCTTTTGAGCCCGGCACCGGTACACTCAGTCATATCAAGACTCTCATGAGTAATTCCGCTAGGGAGTTTCCAATCAAAATGATAAAGTAGATTCGTCAACATTAGTTTCACTGTAGCCAATCCAAATGACATTCCAGGACACATCCTCCTTCCGGAACCAAAAGGGATGAATTCCAAATTATTTCCATTATAATCACTCGGGCGATCAAGGAATCTTTCAGGAATGAACTTATCAGCTTCCCTCCAACAACGGGGATCTCGCCCGATGGCCCATGCATTAATGATAACTTTAGTTTGGGAAGGAATCTCATAACCAAGGATCTCCACCCTCTCTCGGGCTTCTCTAGGGAGAAGTAAAGGGATCGCAGGGTGCAACCTTAAACTCTCTTGAATAACCAAATCCAAGTAAGTGAGATTATGAAGACCCTCCTCGTTGACATATATTTTACCGCAAAAGGTTCGTCTCACCTCATCTTGTGCTCTTTGCATCACACTTGGATGTCTCATCAATTCAGACATCGCCCACTCTATTGTTGTTGAGGTTGTTTCGGTACCAGCAAGAAACATGTCCTGAGCATATGGATAAAATATCTAATTAGAAAAACTAATCTTGTACACTAGTGAGGAAATTACAAACTCAACTCCTAACTGACTAGTCTGGAATCACCAAGGAGTGACTCAAGTGATAAGGATTTAGCACATTGTGCAATTTTTCGAGAGTAAAAGATCTACTACGATTGTTGAATAATAGGCTACAAGCATGAATTTTCTGAGTACCATACATTTTGGGTATATTCACTGCATCTAGTACTTTCATCAGAAAACAAGATCTAATCCTACTTACGATACCATACCATATTTGATTTCAGCCAACGAGACTTCAATTTTCCTAAACTGTTAAAAAAAAAATTCATTTCCGATTCTTTTATAAAAAATGATTATATTGTTTACAGCAATTTTTTTTATTTAACCTTGAGCTACATCGATAAAAAAAAATTAAAGATTAAAGAGACGAGACACTTGCCAAAATGACCGCAAGAAATATGTCTTAAGCACAACGATAATAAATCTAATTAGGAAAATGAATCTTGTAAACTAGAGAGGGTATAGTAGCCTCAACACTTACCAAAATGACCGCTTTGATGGCTTCGATGGTCAACGGCGAATCCAATTCACTTCCGTTTTCCTGAAGATTAAGAAGAACATCAACAAGATCGTCGGAATAATTATTATGTTGAGCTGCAGGCTCACTACTACTGTTTCGGCGTCGGGATTTGTGTTGGTTGATGATGTCGTCAAGAATCCCATCAGCCGCTAGATGCAAGTTGGTAAGGCGCGATCGATACCCGGTCAACGCCGGAAGGGACTTGACCGAAGGGAACAGATCCGATACTGTGAAACCGTCCAGAGCATCCGAAACCCCGGAAATGATCTCCGTGAACTTCGCTTCCGTATCATTCGCCGCCATCCCGAACGCCGCCCTGAAAACAAGGCTACTCGTCGACGACCGCAAAATCTTGCCGACGTCAACGCCGGCGCCGGCGCATCCTGTGGCGCTGATGGCGGCAACGAGCTTGGAGGCTTCGGATTCCCTGACGGGGCGGAGAGAGAGAACTCTCTTGGAGCTCAGCAGCTCGACCACGCAGATCTTGCGCATCTGCCGCCAGTAGGAGCCGTACGGCGCAAGGCCGACGTCCTTGGCGCCGTAGAATACGACGTCGGCGAGCAGGAGCCACGGCCGCGTCGCAAAGCTGAGGTCGTGGGCTTTCATCACTTGTGCGGCGGCTTCGGGACTTGAAATCACGACATAGGAGAGCTCGCCCAGCTGGAGGTGCATCACGTGTGGGCCGTGTTTGTGGGCCAGTTCCCGCAGCCGGTGGTGGGGAAGTTTGCCGATCAGTTGGTGGAGGTTTCCGATCACCGGCAGCTTCCGTGGGCCTGGTGGTAATTTCCCCACCAAGTGCCCGGATCTGGTAGTTGCGGCTGATTTGTTTCGGATTATTAGTGCTACTGATATCGATCCCAATATGATTAGTGTAGTAATCAGTGGGATTAAGGGGACGGAGGAGAAATGATGATAATATTCCATTTCCAGCAGTAGAGCCTTGATGCTGCTGTGATATGAATGGATCTGTGTAAATCGAGGACAGGGTTATAGAGATGGTATTGGTATGGTGTCCATGTATTTTTTATTTTATTTTATTTTATTTTATTTTATTCGTAGACCCCTAAGAAAATTTTAATAACTTTCAGATCTGAGAAATATTTTTAAGGATAAATTGCAAGTTTGATCATTGGGTTTACTCAACTATTTCACATTTGTCACTAAAATTAATTTATTTAATTCGTGGTCAATAGGTCTATTTTGGTCAATGGTCACCGAACGTCCAACTCCGTTAACTTTCTCTAATATGGAAACCAACTCCTATAGTTGACCGTCAAATAAGTGATATGACAATTTACAAATTAATAAAATTTGATATTTACAATTTGCAGAGGACCTCCTCATAAGTGGACCCGAAATTGGAGGGTTTCGTCAAAAGAGGTGGTGGCGAGAAGAACGGTTGAGTTCAGGTCCTTAAGACATCTTTTGCTTCAGAAAAGAAAACAATTGCTTCCCAAACCATTGTACGAACAACAATCAATCAAGTAAACTAAACTAAACTAAAGAAAGTTGTGTTAGTGTTGTGGTATATGATCCACGATTGAACCTCTCCCAACAACTCGAGTTATTGGGAGCAACTGGTTCTTGACACCTTCATTAAATAAAAGCAAAAATATAATATCGATCGGTTTCTTGATGACATACACATAAAACTTGGGTGTGGGGAATAAATCAAACCCGCTATAGCTAGGTCATAAACAAGCATGAAAAGGACGTACACTTGGATCCAAGGGATAAAGAATGATTGAATTCATAAAGGTGGTTGTGGAATGAGAAATCAATTAGGTTTGGGATTCTATTTCTACGGTAATAGCAGGGGAGGGGATGATGAACGCAAACCACGTACGGCGCCAAAGATAATTAGGTTTAGGAAGCTAGAGCTACAGCCTACAGTACAGGAGGAGACTTCACTCATTCATATGCGCCATGGACTTCTGTTGTTGATCGAAACTAGAATAAAGCTTATGATATGAATAAACCCTAAGACTAGCTAGCATGGATTTTTATGTTGACGCTCCGCAACCAAAACCTCCTAAAATTTTTTGAATTTTCATAAACCAGTAGTTCAACCTGCCTTACCAAATCTACCTCATCCATTAGTTTTTCCGTAAGATGCTTTCCGGTGTCGGATGTTTTTTCTTGCTAATCTCTGGTGTCCCTGTGTTGTTTTTATCATGTCATGAGCTGAACAAGCGTCTTCCATCATCATGGGCTGGGAGGGAAAAAAAAAACCAAAATTTGATAATCTAGCAGGACTGGAGTGGAGTCGTCGGACGTACAACTTGGATGGACAACACAGGTAAATTTTTAACATTTTTCAAATCCTATTTAACATTTTCAATCCATATTATTAATATTATTTTCTACATATATAACTGTTTTTGACATTTTCAAATTATTAACATTTTCCAAATCGTTATTAAAAATTTAGTCCATATTATTAACATTGTTTTGCATAACTATTAACATTATTCACACTCTCAAATTATTAACATTTTGTAAATCGTGATTAATTTATTTATACATCCAAACTATTAACATTTTCTGAAATGTTATTAAAAGTGTGAGTACGAGCGCTGTACGAAGCTGGTCAACAGAATCGGCGGAGGTGGATACACCGGTTGCGGCAAGCCGGTGTACGAAGAGAATCCACTCAACAAAATTTGGGGTTGTCTCCGTCATGTGATAGATTTGTAGGTGATTTAATTGTCAAATTAGCAAGTATATACTCGACTCATGTAATCTAGGACGATTTCCTAATTGCGCTTCTTCTTTTGTTATCAGTTGGGACCTGCAATTTAAGGTCATCATCATTACTTTCAAACTGTTATCAGTTAGCCATGCTTGAGTTTGCTGAGGTGAGAAAGAATTGAAGTATTTTCCTGTGTCATTTCTTTGTTCAGATTTTTCAAGAAATGGGAAAGTTTAGGAGGAGGGAATAGAATGAGATCCGAATTTGAGACTGTTTTGATGCTCGCCCACTGACTGTTGTATTGTCGATAACATCTTTCTACTCTCAAAGCTGCCATGTTGTTTTAGTTCTTTCTCTTCCCTACGTACGGAAATCATTCATGTGCTTCCTTTCTCTTTTAATTTAATCCCATGAAAGAAATCATGGAAAGTTTTGTCATTTGTAAACTATTTTGAGTTCATGTTTGGTTTGTTCGTTTAACTTCAAATCTATTAATCTGTCGCAACAAGTAGATAAGTAGGGTCGAGAAGCTATCCTTAGCACTTGATCATGCCGACTACAAGTCTACAACTGGTGGGAGAGTGATGAAGGAACGAATGTTGTCAGACTAATTAAGCAGTAGAGCAGTATGCAGCAATAATAACATGTATGTATTTGTGCGAGTAGCAGCAGCAGTTGGTGGTATCGTATGCTCTTAATTAATTATTGCTACAGTTTCACAAAATTACCTTCCCATAATTTGTTCATTTGCTTATATATTTCTTATCCTGTTAAGCTTTCTTCGATTTGTTGCAAATGTTCTATGTATTATTTTGCTAGATGTTGGGTTAGGATCTAAACTCGGGGTTTGTTAAAAGTTTTCAAATGTTTCTGTGAATAATTCCAACTTCATTAGGTTTCTGTGAATAATTCTATATTATATTCATAACAATGGAACTTCAATTTGCTTACATGATAGGTGGGGATTTGAGCCGCTGCTCTTTACCGCAATGGTGGTTCTATCATAATTCTTCAGTGTTTGTTTTCACTTATACTTAGAATTGGTTATGATACCTGGCACTGGCAGTGCTCTAAAGTTGTGATTCCTTTGCGCATTTGACATATACATTAAGAGGTCTCCGTCTCCGCCTATCTTTGCTTTTTGTGATTCGTTTTTAAGGTATGATGAAGCATGATTTATTTGTTCCCTATTTCTGGCTCTGTAATTTATACGACTGATTGAATATGAAAAGGATGAGGAAAGCTTATTTATATGATGGTTGTTCCTGGTGGTTTTGTTATTTGAATTTCACTATGTTTTCTTTGCTTAATGTGGCTGTGATTTTTTTTTTATGGAATCAACGGGATTTTTGTATGGAATTAGCGGGGTGAGAATATTGATGCGATAGCTGGGTTCATGTGATTTGGTGTCGGAACATAACTCAATGTGATTATTATAGCTATCGACTTCAGACACGTGTCAGAGAATCCAATTCATTATTGTTTGCGGGAAAACAATATGTAGTAGATGCGTATGCTTTGGTTGAAGTTGAACGGTAGTTATAGCCTCTTCTCTATTGGGTGGATAACTGACATGTGCATCTATAAAAGTCCGTCCTCTATCCGACCCAAAACCAGTCAGTTCATGACCATATTGCCAACTTAGCAGCCACAAAAGGCCAAAGACAGGATTTGGATTTGGATTATTAGACTTGAGTTGCACTAACGGTCATTCTTCGTCCAAATCTGAAAAACTTTTAAGTGACAATCAACCATATTACATAAAAGTCAACCATATCAACTAAAAAATATAATAAAATAATATTTAATTATTTTTAATTCCATCTCGACATTCAAAGCTCTTCGAAATCCTTATTGGCCGACGGCGAGGAAAATCTCACTGCCTTTCCTTCCCCGTCTAAGGAAATTCTCATTAGAAAACCTATTCCAAAGACTTGACTTATTATAGGGGACCTACTATGATAGAAACATGGGCAACTAAAGAGGTAGCGAGACTAACCGTAATTGCAAGAATAAGTTTACTTTCTTTCATTCTTGTTATGGAAAATGAGATTAGTTTCGTTTAGTACGAGCACTCTTCCTAATTCAAGTTTGAGATGGAATAAGACTCAGTCGTAGAGTCCCGTCGGCCGGAATTGACGGGTTAACTTGTCAAACGGAGTATAATAGGTGACTCGAGTTCGAGAACCGGGATCTCCAAAAATCAAGCGCAGGGGCGCAAGTTATTCCACTCCGTGGACCAATCAGAGGTGTCGGATCACCAACACCACTTGTTTGCTTTTTCTATCTATTTTGGGTCTGCATTTATCGATGTTTATGATTGGAGACATTTTGTTATTCTGATTTATTTGGGTACTTTTTGGGATATTCTACAATTATATGGTATTTTTGTCATTGAATTAATTATTGGTAGCGTCCTCACTAAACATACTTAACCAGTTAACCTAACAGTTACCACACGTCCATATTACTCGATAAAAAATACCTACCACACTCTATGTTGTATAAAAAAAATTAAACGCCACTAATAATGGTGAATAAAATAATCAATGCTCCTTTAGCCAAGTGGTTGGAAGTGTGGGATCAGTGGATCACATTGACACTTCACTGACTTGCCACCCATGGTTCGAGGATTGGTGTATAGCTCACTGACCAAACTGAACTGCAACTAACCCTTCGCGGGGGGGGGGGGGGGGGGGGGGGGGGGGGGGGGGACCAGACCATAGATACGGTTTGTGGTCCAGACCGAGAGGTTGGAACACAGACCATGGACCAGACCATATACTATATGGTCCAGACCAGACCACACCTATGCGGTGTGGTCCGGTATGGTCTGGACCAGACAGACCATGTTAAAAAAATTAACTCTTGTTCGCCCTCCAACCCTTCACCGGTATCTATAAAAAAATCTAGTGACCAATATGCTAGTGAAACAAAAAAATTGTGATCGTATTAAATGAGAAGAAATATGAGGATAGAAGTGGGGTTTTTCAATTTTCAAGTAGCCTTATTTCCCTATTCCTCTTTGTGCTACCGCTTCTCTCCTCTCTCGAGTGATCTGAAGGTTCTCCCAGTTGATAACCTTTTTGATGACGTCGAGGTAATTTCGAACCACTAAGATGGTCACATATCTCTCAATAATTTTCCTTATCTCATCAAGGTGAACGAATTTTTTTGTAGTGTTTAATTTGTATCGACTCCATAGTCGAGACATTATCTGTGAATATTATTTATGAGTCTTTCTAATTTTTGTGTGATACTTTGATATGGAGATAACATATAAGCGATCATTTTGCAATTTTTTGGCTCTCAACTAGATGAAGAATCAACTAACTTTGTTCTTCAAATACACATATGGAGGTTCAATTTAGTGTTATTTTTGTCCAAGGTAGTAGGTAGTGTGTCGCGGTCTGTTACGGTTTACTGCGGTAGACCGCGGTCCAGACCACTTCAGACCACGCACTAAAGGAGGAGACCGCAAACCAGACCAGACCATAGTTCTGGTCTCACGGTCTAGACCAAACCATACGATACGGTCTAGACCGCGGTTTCCCATACGGTTTGGTTTGGATTCCCAGCCCTAGAAATAGGTAAAATATACTTGTATAGCCAAAACTTTCGTGTTTGAGCCAATAATATCCAAATTTGAAAAAAATATTACTTATAAGTTATAACCAATTCCGTCCAATTCTTTAACGGTGTTATTTAACAAGCTGACTGGACTAACAGAAACACTTACATGACAATGTTTTGTCAATAACATTGCCTTGTGAATTTAACTTTAAAACATAAAAATATACCAAATAAAAAGGGGTTAATTGCATGGTTGGTCACTGAGATTACAAAAAACGTTCATGTTTAGTCACTGTAAATATTTAAATCTAATCTTGGTCACTCAAATTAGTTAAATGGTTCAAGTTTGGTCACTCTCCGTCCAACTCCGTTAAATTTGTCTGATATGGCAGTCAACCCTCAAAGTTGACCGTTAAATCAGTGATGTGGCAATTAAAAAATAATAAATAAAACAAATTTTAATCTTCTACTATTTCCAACTCATTTTCAAAATGAAATACAAAATATTATAATTAGAAATTGAAAAGGAGCCGACTGTCTACACCGACCGAGTTACCTGTCCTGACCGAGTTCACTCAGCGAGTCGAACACCAAATCCTCGAGCCTCCGTGAAAAATTCAGAGAAGAAGGAAAGAAGAAAGCGTCGATTTCATAGAAATGGCGGACCCGGCGCTCTACCACGAGACCCAACCCATAAACCAGAACGTTGTCGACTACACGCCCGAGGCGTGCACCCACTGCCCGGAAACCAATTCCATCACCTTGACTTATTACCACCGTGGCGACGCTCGTTGGCGGAGCACCAACCGTTTCCTCTACTGTTTATGTCACCTAGCTTTAATTTATTCCTTGCTTTGTTTTCAAAGAATGATTCCCGTCATGTCCAATCCATCTGGGCTGATCCTTCTTTTTATGTCCACCATAATGCAGATCTCTTCTCTGGAAGGAAACAAATCCCAGGACGAGGTCGACTTCGAGTTCGTCGGAAAGGACGAGACCGTCGTCCAGACCAACTACTACACCGCAGGGAGCGGCAACAGAGAGCAGATCCACGACCTAGGGTTCGATTGCTCGGATTGGTTTCACGAGTATATCATGAAGTGACCCCAACAACCAAACTAGCTCCCAATTCCCATCCCTAGCTCCACCCGCCGCCGACGCCGTCCCCGCCGCTCCACGACCATAATCACCTATAGACAGTCAGCTCCCTTTCAATTTGTAATTATAATAATATTTTTATTTTTTATTTCACTTTATTGTGAAAATGAGTTATAAAAGGTAGAAGATTAAACGGTTCAATTAATTATAATAAAAAAAATTTATTTATTATTTTTAATTACCACGTCACTGATTTAACTGTCAACTTTGATAGTTGACTGCCACATCAGACAAATTTAATGGAGTTGGACGGAGAGTGACCAAACTTGTACCATTTAACTAATTTGAGCGACCAAGATTAGATTTAAATATTTACAGTGACTAAGCATGAACGTTTTTTGTAATCTCAGTGACCAACCATGCAATTAACCCAAATAAAAAGAAAAAGAAAATATAACCATTTAAACTTTCCCTCTCTCTTCTTTCCCTTTTCATTCTCCAATCGCCGCTCCCGACCGATGAATACTTACTGCTGCCGCTGCTATTCTTAGTTGGATGAGAAGAAGAGTCTTCTTCTTGAGACGCAGACGCCAACCCTTCCAAAACTGAAACCGAGCTGGATTGCTGACTCTCGAGGCTTCCATCTGCAGCTATCTGGTTGTTGACCTCCCACCGGTGAACAAAATTCACAGAGGCGCAGAGGATGAGTCTGGGTATGGTCAAAGACAGTCGTAGGAAGAGACTGAGTTTGCGGCGAATATCCCTCGGTTGCCAACGCGGAGGCGGAACCAGCGACGGAGGATCGGAAGAATTCCCAGAATACAGTAAAAATTAAACATAATTCTCGGAATACATAAGTTTTATAAAATTTTCCTAAAATACCCAAGTTTCAAAGGGTTCGAGTCCCATAAACTCGAACTACTCACCAGTTCGACGATGGAGAACTCGAACTAACATAGGATCGAGTTTTAAAAACTCGATCAACATTAGTTCGATTTTGGAGAACTCGAACAACGTAGATCGATGACAAAGGAATCAATCTTAATAGATCGAGTATGGACAACTCGATATAGTTAGATCGACGCCTAAAACCTCGATGTAGTGCAACGACTTTAATGCACTCGATCATTATCTGCACTAGATCGATGCCCTATGACTCGAACTACCAAAATCGATTCCAATGGGCTCGAACCACTGGCCCACCGACATGCTTCAGGATAGGGTTGCAGGGATAAGATTCTTTGTTGTCATAGATCGAGTTTTAGGGACTCGAACTAGTGTAGCTCGATTACACTAAACTCGAACTACTTCTCATTCATTCTGTCCAGTCGCTTTCGGTCGGACATGCTCCAGAATAGGGTGCAGGGGGGAAATTATTGGTTGACATAGATCGAGTTTAATGAACTCGAACTAGTAGTTCGAGTGTTTTGGACTCGAACCACTCCATCAGTTTACGATGATAAAAATCCATCACTTAGCACATTCTGGCAGCTCTCTTCCTTTCTATCTTCTTTCTTCCAAACACAAACTGCAGCTGCTGGAGCACCATAACTGAGCAAAGAAGAAAAATTTTGGAGGTAAGTTCTGCTTACTTTGTTTGAATGAGCATATTAGAATTTTGGATTAATTTAGTATTGTTTGTACTGTATGTAATGAGCTGCTTGTATAAACTGCAGAAATGGGTAGAAAATTTTGAAAATTCGACTTAAAGATTCGGTGGAATTGTAGAATTACACACTTTCATGATTGTATTGACTACGAAGATGGTGAATCAAGTATTGTCCGGATTGAGAGCATATTTACTTGGCAAGAACTTAGTCATATTTGTGCGGAACGATGTTGCATAGGAGGGCGAAGAGTATGCAAGATGACTTACCGTATGCCGGTTTACAAGGATTATGCACTTGTATATGAAGGGTCAGATTTGTCTGACGATGATGACATTAATATGATGGTGAGATTTATTGCAGAGAACAAATTTCCAAATGCTGAGGTGTATGTCGAGACAGAAGTTTTTGGCCAATATGGTGGCGGCGGTTATACCGAACACGGTGAAGGATCGGGAGGATTTTCCGGTTCAGGAGATTTCAGAGTCCGGCACGATACACCATGGCCAACATACGAGAATCGAACTACAACTGGTCCATTGGTGTAACATGACGGACAGGAGTGGCCAGTATGGGGTGAAGAATGGGATTACATAAGGGCACCCAGACAGTCACCCAGACAAGCATCTACACCAGCATCTGCCATCAACAATGATCCATATAGGGATAAACCAAGTCCTCCGTACACTAGCGAGGCAAGCGACGTGGAAGATGAAGAGTTAGAATCAATGAGTAGTTCAGATGGTGAAGATCTGGAAGTTGATGAAGGGGAATTTGAGCCCCCCACACCTCACTACACGATGGTGCCACAACATCCTCTCTATGCTCACAACGACGATCCTGACCTCCCTCCTATACCAATCCGGACTCCTGACTCTGGCTTCGTGGTTGGTCAAACATTTGGAGGAAAGCCTCAGGTGGTCGATGCATTGAAAGAAACTGCTATGCGAAGAAGCTTTCAATATCGTGTCATCACTTCTGACACAAAACAATTTCATGTTCGTTGCGAGAACCATGGCGACGGATGCATGTGGCATGTTCGGGCAGCATATGTTAAAAGAAATGGGGCTTGGCTCATTCGTAAGACAGACAACAACCACCCTTGTAGGTCGTCACTGATTTCTCTAGATCACCGACAATTGAGTGCAAGGAAGGTTGCACAAACAATCAAACATCTGATTGAGGCACAACCTGGGATCACCGTGAAGAGTGTCATCTCTGAAGTGAAGAATCAACATGGCTATACCATTAGTTACAAGAAAGCATGGCATGGGAAGAAAAAAGCTATGGGAGAGGTGTATGGTGATTGGGAAGAGTCATTTGCTAACCTGCCTCGTTTGATTCTTGCAATGGAGGACAAGAATCCTGGGTCTGTTTTTGTGCCTAGTTGCGAAGATTTCTATGGGGGTGCTAAACGCGTGTTTAAGCGACTATTTTGGGCATTCAAACCATGCATTGATGGTTTCACCCATTGTCTGCCAATAATCCAAGTTGATGGCACCTTTCTGACCGGCAAATACAAGGGCACTCTACTCGTTGCCACTAGTGTTGATGGCAGTATGCAACTTTTCCCCCTTGCTTTTGCTATAGTCGAATTGGAGAACAACTTAAGTTGGACATGGTTTTTTTCCCAACTATACACTCGTGTCACTCAACAGAAGGACATTGCCATACTTTCTGATCCACACCATGGAATTGTACATGCTTTCTACGACCTGCCCGAGGAGCTAGGGTGGAAGTGGCGCTGGTGCATACGAGATTTCAAAAGTAATTATGGGAAGCACTTTGGTAGAACTTATGGACAACGTGCAGTTTGGCACGCTGGTAAGAACAAATAAGATGTTGTGATTATATCAATTGGTTGAATGCGTATACTCCTTTACCAAACTAAAGAAAAAAAATCTGATGCGGAAGATCGGGCTTAGCCGCAACCACAGAGCATATTTTTTCTTCAAGAGTGGTGGGAGGAAGAGAGGAAGAAGAATGGAGTGGTGTGAGTTTTGGTGGAATGGGAGGGGGTATTTATAGGTTCTGTGGGAGAGTAGATCGAGTTTACAAAACTCGAACTAGTGCTTCGATTTTGGGGTGCTCGATCCGCGTCAAAATGAGTTCGTCGTTAGGCGCATCGACGATCCAGATCGAGGATAGGGTACTCGATCAACGGTAGATCGAGTCTGACATCAGCGATCCGTGTCAAAGGGATCGATTAAAGGGGACTCGTTCAACTGCATCGAGTTTCACCCACTCGATCCGCGTCATCCCTGCTTCACGGATTTGGACATCGAACGACCTAGATCGAGTTTAGAGTACTCGATCGACGGTTGTGCGCGCCTGACGTCATCGATCCGCGTCAAGTAGATCGATTACCTCTAACTCGATCTACTTAATTCGAGTTTCCCACACTCGATCCGGGTCATCACTACTTCGCTGGTTGCGCAATCAAACAGCCTAGATCGCTTCCCGGTACATCGATCTAGGGTGGAGCGCTGCACAGGTCATCGATCTGGGTCTTGCAGATCGAGTTTACCATCCTCGATGCACGTGGATCGATTTGTTGGGAGTCTATCTGGTACTAGTTCGAGTTTATTGAACTCGAACTGTGTCAAACTTTGGTAGTTTGAGAATTTTTTATAAAAGTTATGTATTCTGAGAATTATTTTTAATTATTATTGTATTTAGGGAATTACTCCCTATGTCGCGGACGCGAAGGGATTTACAAAAACCCAAAATCTGGTTAAGTTAATGGGTGGCGGAGGGTTAGGGATTTGCAAAGTCCTGTGGGTAGATTTTTTGGCACGATCCTCGTCGGATTCGGAAACACCCGGCGGCGCAGAGGACGACGAGAGAGGGGGCAGCTTCGCTGCCGCCATCGTCGGTGATGGGTGGTTGGACTAGAGGAACGGAGAGGAACGAGGAATATTTTTGGGGGAAGAGGAAATTTTTCAAGTTGAATGGGAATCGCCGAAGAGGAGAATTGCAGGAGGGATTTTTTGTGAAAATTTTTTCCTTTGTTTTGTTACCAACGGCAATGGAGAGAGAAACAAAAAATCAAGTAATTTTTTTTATTAATTAACTTATGACATGTAATTATTAAATGAATTTAAATTACGATGTGTCACTTTCGGCTTATTTGTCGCTGATGTGTATGCTGAGTAGGAGTCTAATCAGTGAACCGTTAAAAAATTTGACGGTGTTACTAACACCGTTAAAGTATTTGACGAAAATGACTAGATTTGTCATACAACAACTTTAAAAGCTGACTATAAGTGGTATTTCTCCAAATTTGGCTACTATTGGCACAAACGCGAAAGTTTTGGCTATACAAGTGTATTTTACCAATAAAATAATAACTTTGGAGTGGTCGGAATTTTTCTTATATTATCTTACAAGCTTTTACTCGGCTCGTTGGCCGGTAACTTTTTATTTATTTTATATTCAATTAAATTGTATATTCGTTGCCTCGCACAGAATTCTCAATCGCTCAAAATCGTATGATGACAAAATTGAGTATTTTGGTTCGTTCAATTTTTGCCACTCTTTGTGAGCTATTGAAAGTTAGGTCCAATACTGAAAGTATGACATTTAATCCACCAACAACTTCCACATATCACAACATTAAAACCGCAAAGAAAGCAAAACCATGTTCTCTCTCGATAAATCAATGGTCTTGCCTACCTGTTAGGGATGGGCAATGAGTGGATCAACTGCTAAATCCACTCAAACCCACCCGATTATGACCCGCCCATTACAAGTTTGGGCAGATAAGGTGGGTGGGTGGGTGTGAGTCAATTTTTTTGTCGTCCAAAGACGGAATCCCAATCAGCATCACCACAACAATTATTACCCTAGCTCAAGCAGCTTGACGGAGAAATCTGAATGGCATTCGATTATAAAGCCCGAAGGGGGTTGAATATTCTGCTCAAACTCGATGTTGATAGTGTAGCTATGAAGTTTCGCAGTCGGAGATCTCTACCACTGTAGCTGTTGTTGAAGAAGCTGAAACCCTAATCGCCGGTATCTCCATTGCCTCCGTGCAAATTCTCATATCGAAAATCTGAAAACCCTAATTGTCGTTATCTCCATCGTAGCCTTCCTCTAAAAACGCAGCATTGCTACCCATTGACGTGGAGCCATGTGATTTGTTCAAGTAATGTTAATTAATTATTAAAATATAATTGGACACGGATTGGATGGAAATTATTTAACAGTTTTTTTATGGACACGAAAGCGATTTGTGACAACTCTAACTCCGACGCCGGACAAAGGACTACAATATCTTCGATGGGGAAAAGGATGAGACAGCAGCTTGATTTGGACTTGGACGGTTGGAGGTCGAAAACCTGTGGAATTTAATTTACACCATGCCTCTATTTCTTTCTCACTTCTAGTTCTAGATCTAGAGGCAACTCCCCTTGCTGGGCCGCAAGCCCACATCAGCGCTCATTTCAGCAGGCCGCGCACCAAACACCGTAAAAATATTTTGTCCCTCCCTTCCCAAAATGCCCCTCCGAAACTCACTCTGGTTGCAGCAATTTTTGAATTGTGGGGGAAGAAAAAACTTTGGGCTATAAATATACTCATCATCATGCCTTATATAATAATTCTGAAGAAGGAAGTTAAACGCATGGATCAAGCCATAGAAAACATTCATTCACCTATTGTATTCAATGATAACGCCAAGAAATTACTTTGCTTAATCTATGTAATCCCCATCCAAGAGTCGCACCATTCTGTTTTTACTTTCTTACTTTTCAAGTCCTGACCAACCTGCATTACGAGAAATTGATAATAAAAATGCAACAAACACCTGCAATATAAATCTACACATAATATAATACACCGAAGGGAAAAACGGGAGCTCCATTTCAAATTTCCTGCAACGAAAGTGAAAGTAGGAAGGACATTTTGGTCTTCACAATTACTTTTTTTTATTCGTTAAAAAGACACGCAGTGAGATTCTAACCATGACAATTTTAAGGAAAAGTAAGGATCATAACAAATCACACTAAGTACATTTGTTGTATCTTTTTAAATTAAAAAAATATAATAGCAGGGAGGAAAAAACCCTTCCCTCATTTCAAATTCCCTGCTCCATGAGCGTTTGTAGGAATGATAGAATAGGGAGTGTCAATTTTTTCCTCTTTCCTCTGTGGAACGTGCCAACTTTCCGTACACATGCGGATTTAAACGGGTTGAGGAGTGTCAATTTTTTTCATTAAGCCCTTTTATTTCTCCGTGGTGATAAAATATATATGAAAATGCAAAAATAATACTTCTTTTTATTGCTAAAAATAAAAAATTTAACAATAAACTAATGCATGATATCTAATGGGCTAACCGCTAACCATAAAATAAAAGAGTTGAATTGGCCTGACCTACACGGGATTTGGCTATCAAGTAAAATAAATGAACATCATTGGTTTGACATTCTAAAACAAGTTATTTTCTCTGGCATAATATATATTATGCTATTATTTTATATCTTATTGGATAAAATATAATGTATTTAAAGTTATTCAATGGTTCAACCTCGACCAACCCAATTAGTCCAATTTTTATCATCTCAAATATATATTATATAATTATTTGATATCATAACGATCAAATTATAGTGTATTTTATAGGGAATCGTTTGGTATTTGTTAGTAAAAAACTAAACAAAAAGATCTATTTGGTTATTTTAAATATTAAAACGATCCTAACTGATATACCTAATGTAAAAATATTTTTACAGAACCAGCTCACCATCTACTCAAATAGTGCATTATTGCACCTGGGCCGACAATCGTGCTCATCCCACGACTCTCTCCGGTGAAGTGTTGGGCCAGGCCCGTCCAGCTCCCATTAGTACCCAATTGTGCCATGACCCGCCAACAGTAAATCACAGAGTGCCTCACGATTGCCCCAAGTTTAGGGTTCCTCCCTCCGAGCCCGGCTCCCCGCATCCGCCCTCCTCCCGTCACCCGGGCCTACCATTGCCATGGCTCTCGGCGGCGGGCCTTCACCTCTCATCCGGTTCCCGGCGCCCGAGCCCGTTATCGTTCCCGGACCCCGGCTCTCGGCACCCAAACCCACCATTGCCCCGGCTCCCGGCGGCGGGCCTTCACATCTCGTCCGGTTCCAGGCGCCCGGGCCCGTTATCGTTCCCGAACCCTGTCCCGGCACCCGGGCCCACCATTCCTCCGGCTCCCGACGGCGGGCCTTCACCTCTCATCCGGTTCCCGGCGCCCGGGACCGTTATCGTTCCCGGACCCCGGCTCCCAGCACCCGGGCCTGTTATCGTTCTCGGACCCCGGCTCCCGGCACCCGGGGCCCACCATTGCCCCCGGCTCTTGGCGGCGGGCCTTCACCTCTCGTCTTGCTCCCGACGCTCGGGCCCGCTATCGTTCCCGGACCCTGGCTCCCGACACCCGGACCTACCATTGCCCCCGCTTCCGGCGCTGGGCCTTCGCCTCTCGTCTGGTGCTCGGCGCCCGCGCCCGATACTAGTCCACTCTCTCCAGTAAAAGTTAAGGCAGGAGACCGGGGGAAGTACCTGGAGAGCGCCCACTGCAATCAGTGACTCTCACCCCCCGAGCTCACCTCCTACAAACACTTTGTAAACTACTCAATCCCCCACACTAGGGACTAACTTGAGCGTCGGAGGGTGCACCCGCCGAGATCGGCCGGCGGGCCCTTCTTGCAGGAAGCGATCGGAGGCAAAGTCACGAAAGAAGGTTACCGTAAAGGGGCACTTCAAATCGCTTCGGGGCCCAAGATCGAGGAAGTCGACATCGGTTACAAACTCGGCATCAACAATTAGCGCCCACCGTGGGACCCCGAAGTAAAAATATTAAAGAATACCCGATATCAACTTTCCGTTCGTGATGGAGTCCGAAAGCTCCCGCCCAGCGGGGGGAAGTCGAGACAAAGAAACGTCTGTCCAACCTACTGTTGAGGAACTCCAAACTCAAATCGAGCAACTCAAAGCACAAATTAAGACGCTGACCTCGGGTCCTCCTCCCAATGGCGTGCATGGTAGTTCAAGTCAACAACAAGAAACCCCTGGTGGATCCGCCCAGCCAAACGGGACGTCGGCACCACCCCCTCCCTCGCCACCCGACCTCTCCTATTTGGCGGCTCATCTCACACCAGGCTTCCTCGGTGATCCCGGTCACGGAAGGCCCCTCGCCCAGACTATTCTTGAGCAGCCTAATCCTCCCAATTTTCAAATGCCGCACCACCTGCCAGAATATTACGGCACTTCCGACCCGTAGGATCACCTCAGTGCATTTCAGATTCTGATGCCCTTCGTGGGGGCATCTGACGCTACTATGTGCAAGCTCTTTCCTGCCACCTTACGGGGGGTAGCATTTCAATGGTACACACAACTTCGCAATGGGTTAATCCTCAACTTCGATGAATTTGCCACCCTCTTTCGTGCTAAGTTCTTCGCTTAGAAAAGGCCTAATGTGGATGTCTCTCACCTCATGAACACCAAGCAAAGGGAATATGAGACCCGCAAAGAGTACTACGCCCGGTTCAGCATGATTGCTGTCGGGGTAACCACTCTCTCCACATAAAATGCCACACATGCCCTCATATTTGGGACAAATAACTCCCTCCTCTGAGCTTTACTTATAAAGCGACGCCCTCGCAACATGATGGATCTCCAGGAACGAGATTCTAAGTATATCGCCCTTGACGAGACCCTGCAGGAGGCGGCCCCCCATAGGAGAGGTCGCTCGCCTCCCCCTAAGAGGAAGCGTGATTCCTCACCTCCAAGAAGAGCAGATTCACCGCGAGCTAGCGAGTGCCCACGTGGTCGTTCGCCGCCGCCCTAAGATAAGGGAGGTCATCGAGATGCCCGTCGGGAAGGAGTTGAACCCAAAGCAGAACGTCCTTTAACTCCCCTCACGGAACCACGTAAAACTATTTTGCAAATCATCCAAGAGAAGAAAATCCCGATTGTGTGGCCAGCTCCAATGACCAAGGAACCACGAAAAGGGAAGAACAAGCATTGCGATTTCCACCGAGGTCATGGTCACAATACAGAGTGTTTTTGGAATCTAAAGAATTCCATAGAAGATCTTGTTCAAGAAGGACATCTCAAGAAATACGTTGAAGGCTCAACAGAATGCTCCCGAGAGCTCCCGCCCACCGATCGAGGCAAAACTCTTCAGAGAACCGTTGCTCGTGAGGTCGTCGAGGTCATCCATGGAGGAGCCGGCCTCGGCGGTATGCAAGCGAAATCTCCGACGAACGCCCAGGCCATGGTGGGCTCCACCTCAGCAACAACAGCCACTCCTCCAATCTCATTTGACTCCCATGATTTAGAAGGAGTTGCGCACCCACACGATGACCCATTGGTAATAAAGGCAATAATAGCTGATTACGAGGCAAGAGAATCTTGGTGGATGGGGGAAGCTCGGAGGACCTACTCTTCTACCCTGCCTACTTATCCTTGGGATACCGCTGAACAGTGTCGGTCGGCAGAGATCTGGTTGACGGGGTTCTCCGGATCCTAGGTACCCGTGATCGGGACCCTACCACTTCGTGTTCAGATTGGGAGTGGTGAACATACCGCTGAAACCATCGTCAAATTTCATGTAGTTGATTGTCCTTCGGCGTACAATTGTATCCTCGGTCGACCTTTTCTCCATCAACTTCGGGCTGTCCCCTCAACTTTCCATCTCCGTCTTAAATTCCCCACTAAGGCCGGTGTTGGGTGTGTGCAAGGGGACCAAGCGCTAGCACGACAATGTTGCGCTCTGTCCCAGGAGAAAAAGGCGATTGTCGCGATCGACGCCCGAGAGGAAGTTTCCCGCCCAGTTCCTGTTGATGACGACGAGGAGTTCCCACTCGTTGATGAGCACACAGTTCGCATATCAACTGCCTGGCCGCGAGAGTCACTCCAGTCCCTCCTCAAGTTACTTCGGGAATTTGGGGAAGTATTCGCCTAGGGTTCCGAAGATATGCCTGGGGTCCACCCTCGAGTGGCCGAGCACACACTCGGAATAGCACCTGGCACCTGCCCCGTCCAACAAAAGCAGCGAAACTTTGCATGGGAAAGACGCCAGGCGGTGGCCGAAGAAGTCACCAAACTCCTTAAAGCTCGGTTTATCAGGGAAGTCTTGTACCCGACATGGCTGGCCAACATCGTTATGGTAAAAAAGTCAAAGGGTCAGTGGCGCATGTGTGTGGATTTCACCGACCTAAACAAGGCATGCCCTAAGGATCCATATCCTCTCCCAAAAATTGATCAGCTCGTGGATGCCACCTCCGGACACCAGTTCCTCACCTTTCTCGACATGTTTTCCGGGTACCACCAGATTCCGATGAAGAAAGAAGACCATGAAAAGACAGCTTTCATGACACCTGTTGGAAACTACTGTTATGAAGTTATGCCCTTCGGCTTAAAAAATGCTGGTCCCACGTATCAGCGCATGGTGGATCGAGTTTTTGCCCCCCAACTGGGAAGGAATGTAGAAGCATATGTCGATGACATCTTGATAAAGAGCATCGGAGTGGGTGCACACCTTGAAGATTTGAGGGAAACGCTCAACACTATGCGCTTGTATGACCTCCGCCTCAATCCAAAAAAGTGTGTCTTTGGTGCAACTGCTGGCAAGTTCCTTGGCTTTTTGCTCACCCAAAGAGGGATCGAAGCCAACCCTCGCAAGATTGATGCAATCCTTCAAATGCCTCCTCCCACCAAAGGTCGAGAGGTGCAAGTACTTGCTGGGCGCATTGCAGCCCTCAATCGCTTTATAGCCAGGGCCGGTGATAGATGTGCTCCGTTCTTTGCTACACTTAAAGGTGCTTGTAAGAACTTTGAGTGGACCCACGAGTGGGAGACGGCGTTCGAGGAGCTCAAAAACTACCTTGTAAACCCACCAATACTCTCCGCCCCCAAGAATAATGATGTCCTTTACTTGTACTTCGCTGTGTCTCCCAAGGCCGTGAGCGCGGTGTTAGTGCGAAAGGATTCCACCGGGACCGAGCATCCAGTATATTACACCAGCAAAACTCTCCTTGATGCTGAAACTCGATATACTCCCGTGGAACAAGCTGCATTGGCCGTAGTTGTTGCCTCCCGAAAATTGCGCCCTTACTTCTAGGGATGGCAATGGGTCGGGTCGGGGGCGGATAGTGCATATCCGTTACCCTACCCAAAGTAGTTCAGGTTTTACCCATATCCATACCCACATAAGAAAAGGGTAGAAATCGAAACCATGCCCATACCCGTTCGGGTTTCGGGTATCCACGGTTATCCATGGGTAATAGTATCTCTTTATAACTTCAACCAATAGGTTAATATTCATATGTATTCTCACACTACGTAAGACAAAAAGGATGACAATAATACACTAGGATGAAGAAAATTCATTTAAACAACACAATTTCATGAAAAAAATTATATTTATATGCTAAATATAAAATATATTAGAGAAAAAATAATGATTATTTCTAGACAAAATACATATGCATGTGTATATCGGGCGGGTTCGGGTTGGATAGTGAGAAAACCATGCCCACCCATTACCCGCAATATTCGGGTTCGGGTTTTACCCGTACCCGCTAAAAGTCATTCGAGTTCGGGTTTTACCCACCCGACAAGGTCGGATTCGGGCAGATATCCACGGTTACGGATATTTTTGCCATCCCTACTTACTTCCAAGCTCACCCCATCTGCGTCCTAACGCACCTACCCCTTTGACGCCTTCTACAGAAAATGGATGTTGCCGGGCGCATGATCAACTAGGCCATCGAGTTGAGTGAGTTTGATATCACCTTCGTACCCCGAATGGCCATCAAGTCACAGGTGCTTGCCGACTTCATAGCCGAGGGCATTCGTGGTCAACCTCCGCCAACGACGGAGACTTGGGTGATGTTCGTTGATGGTGCCTCTAACAAGTCTGGGACAGGTGATGCTCTAAAACACAACACCAAACTGTGACCAAGTATAATCGCAGTCCGGGAATGCAGTAAAGTGACAAGTTATATTATCAACCCGGGGTCTAGATCTACTGCTTACTCAGTGATTCTCTATTATCTAGCCAACTAAGTTAAGTGTTTGTTGTGTAAAAGCAAAAGCAGAAAGAAAGCAGGAATTGATACGGTTTTCTCATGCAGGTAAGAGTCACTCGGGAATGAGTCCCCCTAGCTCCTTAGTTAGGTTTCTATTGTATTTCCCTGGGTTGATTTACTGTTGATTAGACTGCGGAAGATCCGACAGTAGCTTGGAATCTCTTAAGCTGACCAAGCCCTCTCAGTCTAACTACCCGGCAGACGACTAGTCTTCACCAGGATAGAAAGCTGAAGCAGTAAGAACAGAACTCCACTACTGGAATTGGATTCCAGTACAAAGCAGTAAACTGGCTAACTCTCGTATAGCCAATCTCCTACTACCGAATGATGAGACTCTAGCAACCTAATCAGATTCTATCTATCTCAGATTGCAGCAGGAATCAGGAAAAGTTGATCAGACTTCAATTGACTCAATAAACATGCATCATTCGATTCAAATCAAACAGTAATATCATCCCAAGTCATTACAATCAATCCGTAACACATAGAACTAGGGTTCTTCATCCCCAAGTGAGAGAGGGGTTCTACTCCATAAAGAGAGAGAGGAAAACAAGATACAAAGCAGTCATACTCATAATTATGGGAAGAATCTGCTCTGGGATGATGATTTCCACTCCTATGACGATCTCCAAGCTTGATTTGATGAAACCCAGCTCCAAGATAGCTTCTAGGATGTGTTCTTCGTCCTTTCTCTCTCTAGGGCTCTGTTTTTTTGCTCAAAAATCCGAATCCTCTTCCTTGGCTCGAATCTGCCTTCAAAAACCCGACTCTGGGCGAAATACGGGCAGAATTACGGCCGTAATCACGGCTTGCCCGTAATTCGCCCAAAACGCGCGTTTCACTTTACTCTGATGGAAGAGGAGCTACGCCCGTAATTTCACAATTACCGCCAGTATTTCATTAATTACGGTCGTAATTTGGTGGATGCTTGCCCGTAATTTTAGTGCCGAGAAGAATTCTTGGGAAAAATGGCTCGGCATTGGTTTTACGGGCATGCCCTGACCAATTACGGTCGTAATTTGGCAGGGGCTGCCCGTAATTTGTCCTGTGAATCACCATCTGACCTCCAAATGACCCGAAACTTGCGCCTATGCACCTCTTTACTTGCTAGGACCTGAAATACGACAAAACAACACAACCTAGCGTAAAATAGGCCAAGGAACAATCAATTCAAGCTAAAATGGACAGGAAACCAGAGTGAAAACACGTGCAAATACGATGCTATCAAATTCCCCCACACTTAACCGTTTGCTTCTCCCCAAGCAAACCAAGTCAGACACAAGGTAAGCTTACATATTTCAATCAACCAACATTGGGGACAAGTCATAAAGGCATAGAACACGTGAATCGTACTGGTTTTCAAACATCAACACATGAGCAACTTCAATAGCAACCTGGACAACCACCACAAAGGACATTCGAGTGCAGCAAAATCGAGTAAAGGAAGAGTCTCCCTTCTGTTCACCAACCAACCTAGACTTGACTCAACCACTTACTCAAAACAGTCAACTCATGCATCCAACTCAAGACATCAGAATAGAGACCGAGCAATCTAGGTCCTCACCGGGGTACAAGAATATATAGAATATGAAAAATGAATCACTCAATCTCGACCAGTGGGGTTAGGACAATTTGATGCGAAAAATGCGCATGTTATTTCTCTCAATCCCTAACATCTCTTCACCATGATGGCAACCTCTAAATGCTAGAGTTCACATATGGGGTGTCACCACTAACTAATCAGGAGGTCTTAGACACAGGTTCAAATGACTGGCTAGGGTCTTGGACATGGGGAAAAGGCCTTTTAGGTGGTGGAAGTAGTCATAGCACAAGGTTCCACATTTCCAAACCCACACAATCACAGTCAAACAAACCGGTATTTCCTTTCTGCTATTCTGCATTACTCAATATCTCAAGAGCACAAGAGCGAAGGAGGTATAAATGTCAGCATTTCCAAGCCAGACTGCTAAGAAACATTACTTACTGGGCATTATTCAGATTTTTGGTAGTGGCTCTCTTTGCTTTCAATTGTTCTTTGTTTTTCTTTCATTTTCTTTTCATTTCTTAAGAGAGCCACCACTTCTGCACATATTTCAAACACATGCCCAGCCCAACTTTTAAGCACTACCTCCAACACTCACATCAAATTATTTAGCAGAAACAGCAGAGAATATGTAAAAACCACTCTGTGGAACCTTCTAAAAGATGCAAAAGGGTGATTTTTTTCATTTCAGACCAAAAGAAAGGATAACACACGGCTCAAAAGGGCTGACTAGGGGATATGACACATCAGGACAGTCAAATTTGGCCGTGGGCTAATCCTATGCCCCCATCATCTTAGCTAGTGACAACGTGAATGCTACACATCATGGAAGAGGGATCTATCGCACAAGAAAGAAATGAGCAGGCTCAAATATCACATGGCTACCTATATGCTCTATCTCACATTCTGATACCCTGAACTAGATGCATAAACGAC